TTGAATCCACAGAAAATGAGCTTATTTACTAATACTTTTTCCAATCATAAAAAGGAAATATTTTACCCTCCTGTGCAATTGTCTGCAGAACATTGATTATAAAAGAATAATAGTGGAATAGTGACTTGTCCCTATACCATTTCTAGCTGACTTCCATCAAAAAGATGAGAATAATGAGATAAAAAAAAAAGACATGCTCTCTCCCATTCTCCATGAACTCCAATCTAGGTTGGGAATATAAAACTTAGATAAATGAGGCAATATGGATTTTTAAAGTATGCAGATGTTCCTCAGAGATATTGTGGGTTTGGTTCCAGACCACTACAATAAAGTGAGTCTCATAATAGAGTGAATCACACAAATTTTTTTGTTTCCCAGTGCATGTATAAGTTATGTTTATACTATGCTGTAGTCTATTAAGTGCATAATGGTATTATGTCTTTTAAAAGTACATGCTTTAATTTAAAATTTTTTTATTGCTAAAAACTTCTAAATATCATCTGAGCCTTCAGCCAGTTGTAATCTTTTTGCTGGTGGAGGGTCTTGTCTCGATGTTGATGGCTACTGACTGATCAAGGTGGTAGTGATTGCTGAAGTTTGGGGTGACTATGGCATTTTCTAAAAATAAGACAACAATGAAGTTTTCTGCATTGGTTGATTCTTCCTTTCACTTGAACACATGGAGGACGTTGTAGGGTTATTAATTGGCCTAATTTCAATATTGTTGTGTCTCAAAGAATAGGGAGGCCTGAGGAGAGGGAGAGAGAGCAGTCAGAACACACACAACATTTATTGTTTAAGTTTGCTGTCTTATATGGAACATGGTTCATGGCATTCCAAAACTATTATGATAGTAATATCTAAGATCACTGATCACAAATGACCATAACAGATATAATAATAATGAAAAAGTTTGAAATATCTCGAGAATCACCAAAATGTGACACAGAGGCATGATGTGAGCACACGCTATTGGGAAAATGGCACCGATAGACTTGCTTGACACAAGGTTGCCACAAACCTTCAGTTTGTTAAAAAATATATATATATTTAAAAATGCAGTAAAGCAAAGCTCAATAAAAAGAGGTATGTCTGTATGCAGTAGACTGAAATTATGTATTAAAGACCAGAAGTCAGAGGAGTAAGAGGAAAACAGGTAGAAGATTCATAGAAGCCAAAGAATCCATTTCAAAAAGAACCAGTGAACAAAGAGATCAAGGAAGATAAGAAAAGAGAAGGATTTAGTACTAAGGAGTTCATTGATCAGTCTCAAAAAAAGAATAGTTGAAAGTCATAAAAACATCTTTTGAGGTCTTCAAGTGGAGGCAGAATGACCAGTTGTTAGGTGTGTTATAGTAGAGATTTCTTCATGTATCAGTTAAACTAGAAGGCAAAAGAGGTTCATTCCCATTCTCAGATTCCATAATGTTCCCCCTCACACTCTTTATAATCTAACAAAGTTGGCCCACTTGTTGTTCTCTGTACCCAACATTACTTGTCCTTTCCACATTCTTTTACGTAAGCCATGGAAGTGTTGCTCACACTCCATTTTCTTCACATGACATATTATGAGGAATAGAAGAGTCGTTATTGTCCAATTAAAGAAACCTGACAGGCACTCCCTCTTTTTCTTCTCCCTCTTCAAATACCTGGTTTACGTGTGTGTGTGTGTGTGTGTGTGTGTGTGTGTGTTCCCCAATAGAATGTAAGTTTCCATAAGAAAAGGGACTGTTTTGTCTTTGTCTCCCTAGTACCTATCATGGTTCTTGGTGCATAGTAGGCACTTAATAAATACTTGGTGAATGCATGCAAGCAAGCATGAATGAAGGAGTGGAACAATATTTAAGAGCTAGAAGGAGCATTAAAATTGTTTCATGTAACTCAATCATTTGAAAAATGAAGAATCAATACATAGATTATACAGATGAGAAAGTAGATATTTGAACAGATAAAGTTATTTGTTTAAGGTCACCCACAGTCAGGACCAGACCACTGGCTCTAAGCCTCGTGGTTTTTCCACTGTATCATATGAAGAGTCAACTTAAAAAGCCATAGTGTCACTCATTCAATCCAACTCAACCCCATGATTTTATATATACTGCATATATTTGAATGCTGCTGGCTCATCTGTACTTATATCCTTTTAGTTAACAAGTTTTTAGGGGATGAAACCCATTTCCTTGCCACTGGCTCATTATTTTACTGTCTCTCATCCTGGCTTCTTTCATAGCCTCTAAAAAATTATTTACTTTCTAGTGATTCTTTCAAGGCTCCTACAATCTATTCAGGAAATAATAGGCATTCCTAAAATATCCTAAGGCTACAAACATGCATGAGACTTCAATGATTCTCCCTTTCTCTTCATTTTATTTTTCATTTTAACTAAACATATATGTAAACCATCAACATCGCTATTTAATTTAAATTATGATCTAAAATAAAAGCCTGCCCCAAACTCAGACCTCACTTTTGTTTGGTATAGTTGCCAAAGGTATAGTGCCAGACATAAGGTGTGGTTAAAAACCAACTTTTCAGAAAGGAAACACCCTTTTCCTTCATCTGTATCCAGTGGGAAATCAGTGAGGCATTTTGGCTAAGAATAAAATGCAGACTTGATTTCAAATGGGCCAAGTCTAAAAATTCTGCCTACACCTTTGTGTCGAACAGGAATCTACTTGTATCCTTAGCCCTTTCAAGTCAAAGGTCAGGCAGGATTTTCAAGTGCATGGTAGTTGGAGAGCAAAAAATTCATTATTTGAATTCAATACAATTCAATAAACATTTAATACGTGCCTACTATGTGCAAGGCAAAACCAAGATGTGGACTAATACACAGTGTAATTGTCTTCCAATGGAACCATGTGCCTGATTTTTCAGCAGCAAGATAGGGCAGCTTTCTTTGTCCTCTCCATATATGAATCTACTTTAAGGTTTCTCTTGGATTTTAAATGTATATTAACTATTATTCACTAATCCATGTTACAACATTTATTAAGTCTCTGCTATGTACAGATCCTTAGAGGGTTACCTGGGGTCATTGAGTGGTTGAGTGACTTGCAGAGGGTCACTGGTTGAGTGACCCTCACACCCTCTGTGTGAGAGATATGACTTGAACCAAGGCTTTTCTCTCCATCATAGCAGACTGCCTCTTAAATTATTTTGTCTGTTACCTTAGCAACTTTCTAAGACCATAAACTGTAGAGCAGGCACAGGCCTGAATTAATAAGAGTTTTCTCATCAGGAGTTCCCTATACGAGTGAAATCATAGGTTAGGGCTAAAAAGAAATGATGCTTTGGAATAAGATTTAATTTGTAGACTCTCCTCTGTTTTCATAAGTCTGAAGTTATTTGCCTGGCTTATTAGTTTCTTTATAAGATGTAGAACTTGGGCATTGAATATTTAATACAGTATAAGTTCCCTGAGGTCAAAGACTATCTTATTTATTTTTGCAATATTTGCATTAGGATGACACTGTTCATTTTTTTAATTGTTTGAAAAATTGTGTGGCTTGACTAGAGAAGGTTACCACCAGTGAAGAAAAAGCAGGACTGTCTTGGAACCATTGCATGCTGGCTATCACTAATAACCAGACTTTTTTTTTTCTCCCTACAAGCTCTTTATCCAGAGTAGAATTTGAAGTTATGTAAATAACAGATCTCTTAAGGACTGTGGTTTCATATTCCCAGAACCTCCTCAGGTGTTATATTTGACTTAGAGTCAAATTCTGTTTAAGGTCATAGAATCATCTCATATTCTTGGGTCTGTTAAATCCTCAGGAACATCATAGAACAGAAGTCCTCAGGAACATCATAGCACCATATCTATTTTCTCAGGACTCTAAAGTTTGAGTCCAGCCTCTAACAGTTTCCCTGACAATCTAAGACCTCAGGAAGTTGTCCGCAGAAGCGCTAAGCCATTGCCTTCTACCTCCCTGGGACCACCTGAGTCATTGCGTGTCATATGGTGTCCATTACCTTTTGTCATGAGAGCAAAGCTATCTACCAAATCCCAGAAAACCTTATTCCGGGCAAATTAGTTAAACTTTAGACATTATAAAGCTATCCCCTTTCTGTAATCAAGAAGTAACAGCCATAATCAGTTTTAAAGTTTAACTAGTCCAGGTACTCCATTCTTCCCAGATCCACATTCTAGGGATGGAGAAGTCCAGCAAATTCAATAAAGGACAGTTTGGAGGATCCCATGAAATAACTCCAGTGGTAAAGACTGTTGACTAAGTACATGAAACTCAAGAAACAGGGAAATATTTAAAGCTGACACTATGTCATATTCATCATTCAATACTTATAAAAATGTCTGCAGCAAAGTTTGATAAAAAACTAGAAACAAGAGAACACAATTCTAGTTCCCCATATACATCTCTAGAGAAAATGAAATATACTTCTCTTGAGAAGTTCTTGAAGTGACTGGTGCAATATTTAGAGATGGCTAAGGAAAATGGCACAGGAAAACCTGATCTGTTTTCGAATAGCCAAGGTAAATGAAGGCTAACCCTCCTTGTAATAGTCTCTAATGGCACTCATCTCTATCTTTCTTCCCTGACTCCCATTCTCAATTCAGCAGTAGAGAACAAAGGAGTAGGGTTTGTTTTTATAAAGAAAGAGAAGTTGGTGAAAACAGCCTTGACAGCTGCACTCTGTAGCTTGCTGAATTGGGGGCTTATACATCCCCCATTCAAGACTCTTGTTTTGTCTAGATTATATATATATATTATATTTGTCTAGATTATATATATATTATAGATCATTTTCTGGCTCTGGCGTCATTTAGGTAATTATGATTTCCAATGATTTTGTTGTCATCTCTATTTCCCTTGATGGGAGAAGCACTTAAGAGAGATCAGAAAGTAATTGAATTGTTGTAGTCACTTGCCCTCCCCTCGCTCTTGAATGACACAGCCAGCTTTTCCCAAAACAAAAACAACAGTCCTAATAAATAACATCTGGGACTAAGTAAACGACTTTTACTTTTCCTGGTGCAGAAGTGGCAGTGCCTCGAGGACACGTCTGGCAAACTTCGAATTCACAAATGTAAAGGATCCAGCGACCTGCTCGCAATCCGGAAGAGAACTCGAAGTATCCACTCCCGAGGCTTCGGTAACAAAGACAAAGAATGTAATTGTGGGGAGACTGATTATCGGGCTAGCAGGAGCCAGAGGAAAAACCAGAGACAGTTCCTGAGAAACCATGGCACTCAAAGTAAGTGATTTCCTAATGACCACCCAGCAGCAGGTGGAAGTCTTTGGAAATGGGAGGGATATAGTTAACAGGACCTTGTGCATATATGTGTGTATACACACGTATTTACATTTATTTCTTTGGTGTATGGTTCATTTGTTCTATCACTCAAATCTAAATGGCAGGCTGGTGTTCAAAAGCAGAATTCTCATCAATTTTTATTTTTTTCTCTGTAAATTTTTTCTATTTTCAAAAAAAAGATTTTTCTACTAATAACAAATGAATTCATTCAGTTAGCGAAGGAAATGATTCTTGGAATCATAGGGTTATAGCATATAGCAGATTTAAAGGGACTTCAGTGTATGCATGCATATATACACACCAACACACACACATATATATGTATACATATACATATACTTACATGATCATCCTTAGATCTAAAACCAGAAGGAAACTTAGAGGTCATCAGCTCTAATATTCTCATTTTACAGTCAAAGGAACTTAGATCCAGAAAAGTTAAGTGATTTGCTCAAAGTTCCAGTAGTGTGGCAGAGGTGAGATTCAAACTCAGTACCTATGACTCTTAAGTTCAGAGTTCTTTCATTGCACCTTGCTGCATTCTCTCCCCATCCCGCACTTAAGTGGCCGTTGAAAGGAGGGAAGTAGTAACCACTCTGGCATAATAGAGAGAAATGTACCCCATTACTATTTCTGGAGCTTTGTTGTTGTTGTTGTTGAATCATTTCAGTACCATCTGATTATTTGTGACCCCATTTTGGTGTTTTCTTGGCAAAGATACTGGAGTGGTTTGCCATTTCCCTCTCCAGTTCATTTTACAGATGAGGAAACTGAGGCAAACAGGGTTACATAGCTTACCCAGTATCACACAGCTAATCTAGGAAGTGTCTGAGGCTGGTTTGGAACTCATAAAGGTGAGTCTTCCTGATTCCAAGTCCAGTGCTCTACCCACTGTGCCTCCTCACTGCTCTTTTCTATAGCTACAGGGAAACAAAATTCCCACACATTGACCTAAAAGGACTATTGCTGAGATTGCTTTGACTTAGCCATAGAACCAAAGCATTCACTTTAGCAGGTTGTTGGACAGCAGACTTTTGCCTCCAACAACAACAAATGTAAGTGGTGCTATGGAATTGGGGAATGGACATAGATTTGAATGCTAACTCTGCTATGAACTATCTGTGTGACCTTTGGCATCTCACTTAAGGCCTCAGTTTCTGAGGATGTCAGACTGGATGACTTCTAAGGTAGTCTAAATCTGTGACCCTATGATTGTCTGATAGAGAAAGTGTGGGGTTGTAGAAAGGACGGGAATTGAAATCTGCATGTCCTGAGTTTAAATTCACTTCAGACATTTATAAGCCATGTGGCTTCAGGCAAGCCATTTTACCTGGAAATGCCTGGGGTAATTTCCTAGTAATTATGTACTCAGTCATAGACAAGTCCCCATAGACTGAAAAGACGGGCCATGAAAATCCCAGATCCTTCATAATCACCTGTAGAGTACCTAAGTTGTAGGTATAGCAGGAGACAGAGCATGAGAGGCTACAACAGTATGAGATACATTTCCTTCAGATGTATCTGATTTGGTCCATTTTCTCCGTTTTTTAGATAAGGACAAATTAGTGTTATTTATGTTGGTGGATATGGTTTAAATTAGGACAATTCAAGAGGAACACTGTTGAATACTTTAAGGATCACACTGCCCCTGGCCAGCAACCTCGTTATTTTTATTAAGACATTGTCCTCTCAAGCAGACAGCAGAGCAATACCAGTGAGACCCTGAGTAAAGGCCAATTCAAGTGCAAAGCAGGCATGGCCTATAAATGAATGTCTACTGCCATCTACTGGCAGACTGTGGGAACTGCCTTATTTCTGTGATGATTTTCATTTCCATACTGGTTTGGAAATTGAACACTGTTATGTTCAACAGTAATTACTCCACTCTCTCCAGAGTTGGAGATTACACAGCATTCCAGGACGATATCAATGTCTAGACATTTTCTCTATTAGTGGGTAAGTCAGGTTTAATACATCCCAAAAAGCAAAACTCTACAGCCCCCTTGCCCCAGCTTAACTTCCTAGATCAGCCAGCTTACAGATAGAGGCGCTTTGTTAGGGTAATTTACAGTTTATCATTCTGGACCTTAACTATAAATAATGTTGCATTGCATTTCAGGTCACATTTATTTTAAGGACTGAATTACATGTTAGCAAAATTTAGACTAGTTTATTTTGAATGAGGCCAGATTTTTCAACATGTGCATAAAATTAAAATTTGCTTAAAATGTCCAAATTCCATGGAATGGAATGGTATAAATGTCCCATTTTCCCATTGATGAAGTTCTCCAGTGACCCTGTTAGTTCACATTTAGGATTTTATGAGCCTCCCCTCAAAGGGACATAGACAGTTATACATTTTGATTCAGTGACTGTTGTGTATCCCTTATATCTATGCTGGTGGGTCTACAGAGGTTTAAGAAAATAATGCCATCTTAGTGTACTTCATAGAATCTACATGTTTTTTAGGCAGTTAACAAGCCTTTTTTTCTTTAATAATATTTTATTTTTCCCAATTACATGTAAAAACAATTTTAACATTCATTTTTTTAAAGTTTTGACTTCCAAATTCTATCCCTCCTTCCTTCTTCTTCCCCTCTCTGAGACAGTAAGCAATCTGAAATAGGTTATACATATGTAGTTATGTAAAATACTTCCATATTAGTCATTTTGTGCTAGAAGACGAAGGAGGGAAGGAAGGAGGAGGGAAGAAGGGGAAGAAAGAGAAAGAGATAGCATGTTTCATTCTGTATTCAGACAACATCAGTTCTTTCTCTTGAAGAGGAATAGCATTTTTCATCATGAGTCCTTTGGGATTGTCTTGGATCATTGTATACTGAGAATAGCTGTCATTCTTCATCATACAATATAGCTATTAGTGTGTACAATGTTCTTCTGGTTCTGCTCACTTCACTTTGTATCAGTTCATGTAAGTCTTTCCAGGTTTCTCTGGAATCATTCTACTTGTCATTTCTTATAGCACAATATTATTCTATTACAACCATATACCACAACTTGTTCAACCATTCCCCAATTACTGGGCATCTCCTCAATTTCCAATTCCTTGCCACCAAAAAAATAGCTGCTATAAATACTTTTGTTGCAAATAGATTCTTTTCCTTTTTTTTATCTCTTTGGGATTCAGACCTAGCAGCAGTTTTGCTGGATCAAAGGGTTTGCACAGTTTTACAGCCCTTTGGATACAGTTTCAAATTGCTCTCCAGAATGGTTGGATCAGTTCATAACTCCACCAACAGTGCATTAGTGTCCCAGTTTTCTCACATCTCCTCCAACATTTATCATTTTCCTGTTTTGTCATATTAGCCAATATGACAAAGTTATAACTTTATATATATATATATATATATATATATACATATATAACTCAGAGTTAGTTAACAAACAATATTTAGCATTTACTGTGCGCCAAGCACTGTCTTATGCACTATGGATACAAAGAAAGATAAAAACATTATCCTTATCATCAAGGAGCTCATATTCTAATGGAGGAAAGAACACACAAACAACTTTGTTCAAACAAGACAGTATGTGGTATAAATGGAAGATAATGCCAGAGGGGAGGTACTAGCAGTGAGGAAAATAGAAGAAAGGCTAGATCTTAGCTGAGTCTTGAAGCGAGCTAGAAGGTGAGGAGGGAGAACATTCCAGGTGTGGGGGACAGCCAATGCAAAGGTTTGGAGTTGGGAGATGTGATGTGGTGTATGAAGAACAGAAAGAAGGCAAGTAGATCAATGTTTCTGGATCATAGATTACATTGAGCAGAGTAAAGAATAAGACTGGAAAGGTAAAAAGTGTTACATTATGAAGGTTTTTAAGAGGCAGAGGATTTTTACATTTGATCCTGAAATAATAGGGAGCCATTAGAATTTATTGAGTAGCAGGATGACATGGTCAGACCTATGCTTTAAGAAAATTTCTTTGGCACCTGAATTAAAGCTAAATTAGAATAGAGAAAAAACTCTAGGCAGGGAGACCAATCACAAGTCTCTTGAAATAGTCCAGGCATGAGACAATGATGGCATCTGCCAGGGTGATAGATAGATCTCACATGGCTAATCTCATGTACTATGGCAAAACAACAACAACAACAACAATAAATAATATTCAGGGCAGAAGGGCTGTGATTTGGTCCAAGCCCATGACTCCATCGATGTAGGAAATTCAATTCACTGATGCAAATCAGTAACTCCTCTAGAACTTAAAATCTTTTAGAATTGCGTAAGAGATTAAGTGACTTGTCTCGGCCCATTGAGCTAGATTATATCAGGAACAGGACTTTAACCTGGCTCTTCATGATTTCAAGGAAAGTTCTCTTTTCAGTATAATATATTGTCTCTCAAAAACTGGTAAATGATAGTTATCAAAGAAATATATTAAGTTCTCCCCAATACTGGCATCATTATCCTTTAGCTAACTGCAAGATGATGATAATAGGTTGGTTGGTAGATATCTTAAAAAGGTAACATTTTCTTCACTGAGTAGTTCACAATCATTTATGTAAAGAGGTAGTTTCTGGAACATTGAATTTTCCATGTATACACACACACACACACACGTGTGTGTGTGTGTAAGTGTATCTATAGTTCTATCAACTGGACTAATAGTATAGTCCTACCCAGTTGGACTGATTGGACTGTTACATGTGGAAACTAATTTCAGTCAGCTCAAACATATAAATTTGCTGGGGAATCTATACAGAGTATGAGTATTCTCCACATTCAAAGGGGCCTGCCATACCAAATTACCATTTCCATCCTTCCATTTTCTTAAGCTATACAATTATATCTTGGTATCAGTGTTAACTTGCCTTCCCTTTCTTGCAGAATACAAGCCAAGGTTTGTTCACACTCGCCAAACCCGCTCCCTATCTGTGGAATTTGAAGGAGAAATATATGATATAAACTTAGAGGAAGAAGAACTGCAACTGTTACGCCCAAGAAGTATTTCAAAGCGCCATGACAAAAGCCTTAAGTCCGCAGGAGTCCACAATGCTGCAGCTGTTGGTGGTGACAGTGAATTAATGCTGGCTGACGGCCCCAATGCAGTGGGACAATCAGATACTGTCCGAGTGACACATAAGTATGGATGCTTAGATATTCAGAGGAATTATTTTCAAGTTAACCTGCTACATATCATCATCATCATCATCATCATCATCATCATTACCTTCTTCATACCACTACAAGAAAGAAATGCAGCTCAGCTTTAGTGATAGAATAATTGGCAGTGGTTAGCAGCTAGTGGCTAAATAAGCAGTGGGGGATCCAGGGAATAGAAGTTTTTGAGATGTGATTTTGATTCAGTTTCATATTCAGGCTTATTCTACTGGGTATTCAAGAAGCCACAATAATATTGCTATATCTTAACATAGCAGGCATGGAGCATATGCCCTTGAGCTGCTATCACCGTGGGGAACGCTGAAAGGAGAGAAAACAGATGGGGATAATTATTTGCACTACTAAGCCAACACTTTTTCCTGGATACATGGTTGCTATTATTCAATCTGTTGTATTACTCTTGTGGCAGTGGTAGCTGGGGCATAATCAAAAAGTGGGGTCTCCTGGATGGGTTTCCAGGGAAATAGAGTAGATGGGGGAATGGAATTAGGGAGGAGAAATACTTGAGTTAATTAGATCGGCACCCAGCTAGTCTAGTATGTCTTGCTTTTTGGAGGCTAAGCCCATGGGAAAGAACTGGGGAATGAAGGGTTTCAGCAAAGTGCTAATACTCTCAGTTTGGTCTTCCAATCTGTTTCTCATACCCATATAACCCCCCATACCGAAATATAACTATCTTTGACTACATCTAGCAATCTTTGCTTTTTTAAAAAGGACCTCTGTAGGAGTGTCTTATAATTTCTTTATCATTACCTTATTCCTTTGTGTTATAACAACATTGCTTAGCTATAAAATTTTAATTGTTGCATCCTGTCATCTTTATAGTACCAAAAAGCAGCCATGCTCTTTAATCATGTTGTTCTTCCCTTATTCCTTATTTGTTGATCAGCCCACCTTCCTTGTCTCCCTGGGCCTCTTTCTTTGTGGCATTCAAATGGGCAAAAATGAAAGGATTGGTTATAAATGATCTCGATAGAAAAGGTTTACAGATAGTTATGGTTCTTTTAATTAAATGATTCTTTATACCAAGTCTTCTTTTGCAGAATTTTGAAATTTCATTTTAATATTCTCTAACAATGCCACCCGAGCCCAGTCACTTCTTCAGGTGTATTAGCTGGTGTTTTCTAAAAGTTAAAATTTCTGTTTGTTGATTTTGTGTACTTTGGGAACAGTATTAAGTCTGTCCAGTGCCTTCCACGTCCTTGGCAATGATACCCACTGACCCAGTTTTGGACGCTCACATTTATAGCCAAGAGGCATTACATTCATAATTATCTACTGATGAGCTTGTATTCATTGATTTGTTGCTCGTATCTAAATTAACTGGTTCAGGAGAAAAATAAAGTTCTCTTCTTTGGTCTTTCCTATAGGTGCTTTATTCTTCCAAATGACACAATCCATTGTGAGAGAGAACTATATCAATCAGCCAGAGCCTGGAAAGACCACAAGGCATACATCGATAAGGAGGTTAGCTGGGATTTAAATGTCTATTCCAAATTCAACTGGATGGCTGGGAAGCTGTTTTTATTGATCATTTGATGGGTACAATACCTAGTATGTATTATAATTGCATGTAAAATACTACACCTAATAATAATTCCTCTCTCCTCCAATCAACAACTCTGTGAGCTAGGGACTGCAAATATTAATATCAGCATCTAACATAGGACCTTGCCTATAGTAGCCACTTAACAATAAATAGTATTTACATGGGATATTAAGGTTTGAAAAGCACTTTACACATTATTTCATTTGATCCTCCCATCAAACCTGGAGGTAGACATTATTATTATTAATTATTATTATTATTATCATCATCATCATCATTATTATTCACTTTTACAAATAAAGAAACAGAGGTCCCAAGAGATTAAGTGACTGACTCAAGGTCACACAACAAGCAAGATCCAGAAAAGATAAAGTCATTTGATCAAGGTTAAATCACAAGGAAGTGTGAGCAGAGCCAGGATCTAAAGTCCAGTCCTCCTGCTCTTTCCACTATTCCATGAGCACTTCGAGGAAACAAGAGAAGGATGATTTGATGACTTTTTTTTGATTCTTTCCAAGTCAATGATGCCATGTATCTGTTAGGAAACAAACTTGCATTAAGTGTGAAAGGTGTTCTGCCTTTGGTAGAATGTAAAGAGTACTGTGACTTTTTCCAGCATAGGCCCAAATTTATTAAGTGGTTTAACGTATGCCTATGGTGACAGAAAAAAAAACTGAAGTGAGAAAGCATTTTGCTCAAAGGAGAATTCTAAAGAGCTATTGGCCTTAAAATATAATTAATCCCCAATGTATTCCCCAGATTGAAGCTCTCCAAGATAAAATTAAGAATTTAAGAGAAGTGAGAGGACACCTGAAGAGAAGAAAGCCTGATGAATGTGATTGTAACAAGCAGAGGTAATGGCTTCTTTGCTGCAGCCTGCTGGTAACGTCTGCTCTGGAAACTCATTAGCTATTGGTACTGGCTGAGGTCATTATAGTGGGGGGTTATGTCTCTCTATTACTAAGCTTATTATGTTTAATGTACTATTGCACATAGTAATGACTAAGGCTATTTAAATAAAATTAAGTACACTATAAATCTAAGCAGTAGGTGTGAGGCGCAGTCCCTTTAAACAGAAGCTTTTGCCAGTACTAGCCACGTTATCTTTCTATTTTTGCTTTGTTTACAGAAAATGAATTAAATGTAATCAAATGGAAATGTATGAAAACTCACTTTTTAATCCTGTTGCCTGTAGCTATTATAATAAAGAAAAAGGTGTAAAAGCCCAAGAGAAATTGAAGAGCCACCTTCACCCATTCAAGTAAGTGGCCTCCTTTGGGAATAGTAGGGGCGGGGGGGGGGGGTAGCAAGGAAACAGTGTGTCAAGTGGCAACTTCCCAGTTGTTAGTGTTGCCATCAGCAAAAAAAGTAAATGTTTACTATGTGCCCAGGACAGTGAAAATCAATCAGTCGAGACATCACCTCAAAGTGTCATGAGAATCCATTCAAGGTCACTCATCTGAAGCACATTATCAGAGTCTAATTCAACTCTCTCCACCCTGGAGCACCCAGCTAATATATGTGATGTGCATAGCCTGCTCTTCTCATTATGTTGCCATGTGAGAAAAAAGACAAAGAGGGGTGGTGTAGGCCACCTCAGTTAATTCTAAGGTTTTCTGCTACACTAACAGCAGTATTGAATGTAGAAATGTAAAATGTAGAAAAATGAAAAAAAGATGGAAAGGGGGAATGGGATTGTAAGCTACATGACAGAAAGAAGAGAAACAGAGAGAAGGAAGAGGAAAGGAGAGAGAGAAAGAAGGAAGGAGGATGGAGAAGGGATATTTGAAACTTTCTGAAAAGAAGATTGAGACTGAATGAGGAAATGTTCGGTTCAAGTGAATTAAAGAACAAAAAGGACTTCCACATTTACTCTACTTAATTAAGTTAGCAAAAATATGGAGAGAGTATGGCATAGTATATAAAGCATCAGCTTTGAAGTCAGGGAGACCTGGGTTCAAGTTTTACCTGCCTCAGTCAGATACAAGCTATTTGACTATATCGTAACTTCTCCATGTGAGCAGACCATTCTTTACGCCTCTAAAATACAGATAAGTTATCAATCTGCATCAGTGGAGAGAGTTTTCAGACCAGGAGATCTCTATATTAATGAAATCAAAGATATAGGTCATTAAAATCTATAGAAAAATAACATTTCACAAATAGATCACACAACCCATAAAACTCTAAGAAGATTGCCATTTAACAAAGTTTACTTTTACTTTTATTGAAACTCGGATTTTCTTGAGAAAGAATAACCTAACTAGATGTCTCTAAATAGTAGGAATTACAGTGAGGAACTTTTTAATTTTTTTTTTAGAGAAAGTACTTTTAAATAATTCAAAAATCCCTTCTCTTTGAATAGAGAGGCTGCTCAGGAAGTGGATAGTAAACTACAGCTTTTCAAAGAGAATCGGAGAAGGAAGAAGGAGAGGAAAGAGAAGAAGAGGCAAAAGAAAGGAGATGAGTGCAGCCTGCCTGGACTTACCTGTTTCACACATGACAACAACCACTGGCAAACAGCACCATTTTGGAACTGTAAGAATCTCTTCTTCATGTACTTCCTGTATTTCACTTGACAGAGGAATCTGTGCAGATTCAAAAGGGATCCATTTTATTATTTTTTACAAAGATAGCTTAGATGGTTTTATTTTTTTTCCTTAAATAGTCCATATTTTATGTGGTAAGGCTAATTTTCTCCCAGATTCCTATCTTAGAATAGTATATATTCTTTCCCCACAAATGTTCCCATTTAGTTTAAATTGCATACCCAAAATAAAATAGAAAACATTTGATGCAGATGAGGTATAATGCAAAATGTGCACTTTTTAAATGAATGCTTATATTTTTCATTGGCTTGCATGCAAATTATTTTCCGTACAAGGAAAAATTTCCTAACACTTAGAATTGCAACTAAAGGGCAATTGGGCTGACCTGACAAATAGTACAATCCTCATTACTGGGGGTCTTCAAGCAAAAACTGGAATGGCTACTTATCAGGGATATTGTAAAGAGAATTTCTATTGTGGTGCCACTTGGATTCAGTACCCTATGAGGTACTTTCTAACTCTGAGTTCAATGGCCCTACAGTTCTATAAAGACATGTATCATCTATATTGATTTTGTAGACACTAAGGAGTGAGAAGCAAACTGATAAACAGAGAATACAACAAATAGATATTTTAATCATTAGAAAGGATTTAACCTTGTTGAGAGCAAATTTCTGAGCACTAACTCTGGACTTTAGCTAATTATCCTTCTTTCCCTTATGCACTTACATAGCTGGCACATCAGAGGAGAAGGGGAGAATGTTATATCCCTTCTTAGGCTTATTACTCATGCTGTCCCCATATTGCCCTGGTGCTGTGCCCCACAAAGACCCCCTGCCTAGGGTATGCAGCAAATACAACAAAGAGAGGGGGCTTTCCTGGTAGTTCTCCATGATATGTTCACTAGGTCTGTAAAGGCAGGGTTTCATAACTGGTTCCTCTAAGGCAGGGTTTCATAACTGGAGTCCATGAATTTGTTTTGTTGTTTTAAATATTTTGATAACTGTATTTCAATATAATTGATTTTCTTTATAATTCAACATATTTTATTTTATGCATTTAAAAACAAACAGCAGTTGGCTTTACCAGATTGACAAAGTAGATCATGACACACAGAAAAAAAGTTAAGAACTCTTGCTATAACGAATTTTCAATTCGTATACCATAAATATGTATAGCCAATGACCACTGTAATACAACATATACCACACTTTCGTGTAGCAGCCAACTCTTTTCCAGGTGGCATTAGATGCACATTCATTGTCACCAGAAAAATAACAAATGGCTAAGCGAGCTGATGGTTCAACCCAGAAAGACCAGTTCTTGTTCTTTCCATATAAATAAATCAATGATAAATTTTTTGTCAAGTATTTACTATACACAAAGCACTGTAATACATGCTATGGATACGGATACAAAATACAATCCCTGCCATCAGGAAAGAACAACACATAAAGAGACTCCACATATAGAGGACCAGGTTTCTAGGGAAGGGTGTTTTGATCTTAGAAATCACAGGAATGTTAAGGCATCATGAAGATTCTTTTTTTTAATAGTATTGTATTTTTTCCAATTATGTGTAAACACAATTTTTAACATCCGTTTTTTAAAAATTTTGAGTTCCAAATTTTCTTCTTTTTCCTTCCCTTCCCCCTCCCTAAAAAGGTAAGAATTTTAAATAGGTTATATATGTGCAATCACATCATAAGGATTCTTGAGTCATCTCTTTAGACGTTTCCCCCACTCACCAATCAGGGGAGCACAACCCTAGCCGTAAGGTCCAAAACTGAGTGGCAGCAGCCAGCGGGGCAGGGAAAGAAGCCGGGTTGGGAAGATAACCGAGTGATCTCCTTATGGGTGGGATCCATGTCTTATTCCTATTTGTATCCCTAGCACAGGACCTTGTATGGAGTAGGTATTTGATTCTTGCTTGCGAACAGTAAGAACCAGAGAAACTTGAGGGTCCCTTTCAGCTCTGTATCCATTGCTCCAAGAGAATCAAACCCAGCCTTCTCTCTTCCCTACAGGCCCTCAACTGAAAAGATTTTTAGGTTGGGAGTTTTGTATTATATGCACCATCACCTTAGGTTGGTACATAAGTGACATTTCAGCTCACCATTTTTATTTAATCTTTCACTCGTCTTAGGGCTATTTTTTTCCCATTCTTTTTACTCCAGATATTTTTCCTTTGACACTCTGGGACACAAGAAAAAACTATTTCTAAAAACTATCAAAGTAGTCCATGAACATGGAAGGGGAAGGGTGATAGCATTTATTTAACTCCTACTATGTGCTGTGTTTTTTATTAATATTATATCTTCTGATCATCACAACTACAAGGTAGATGCTATTATTATCCCCATTTTGCAGTTGAGGGAACTGAGCCAAACAATGGCTTGCCCAGGGTCACCTAGCAAAATGCCTATATCCCAGAGGAAGAATGTCAGCTCCTTGAGGGCAGGTTCTATTTGTATTTTTAGCACCTGTATGCCTGGCACATATCAGATACTTCTTACATTTTTGTTGATTGAATAATTAATTAGCATGCCTTTAATCTCCAAGTTTGACTCCCAAAAGGGAAAAACCTATACCACCAGCCCTATAAGAAAGAAAATAAGCAACATGGGTTTAAATCTGATAAAACATCAACGGCTTTAAAGTAATTCTGCGACAATGTTACACCTAAGCTCATTTACCTTTATTCCCCTACCCAACAGTGGGATCTTTCTGTGCCTGCACAAGCTCTAACAACAACACCTACTGGTGTCTGCGAACAGTCAACGAGTCGCACAACTTCCTTTTCTGTGAGTTTGCTACTGGCTTCTTGGAATATTTTGATATGAATACAGATCCCTACCAGGTAAACAAAGCCCTTTCCTTTTTCAGAAGATTATAAGAAGTCCAATATTAAAGAGAGAATTTGAGTCAGTTTTCTTGGACTGACCCTTCCTCTTCTTTACCTCCAGCTCACAAATACGGTCCACACAGTAGAAAGAGGCATCTTGAACCAGCTGCACATTCAGCTGATGGAGCTGAGGAGCTGTCAGGGTTATAAACAGTGCAATCCAAGGCCTAAGGGACTTGAAGCAGGTAAGGGAGAAAATATACACACATCTATGTGTGTGTGTGTGTGTGTGTGTGTGTATGGATGGAGAAAGGGCAAGGCCTGTGGGATTTCATTGGCATAGGGAATTCCTAGGTTGCTGAGTAGGGAAGTTCCCTCTACCAATGCTGAGTACTAAGCTCTGTTACTTAGTCTTGGAGAATAACCTAGAGCAGAGATGAGGCTTGGGCCCTGTTCTCCCCAGTGCTTCCCAAAGCAAATTAAAATGTTATTGGGAAATATTGAACAAAATAGCCAAAAATACAATAAAACAAAGATAATAATTACATTTTAAAACAAACCAATATGTGGCCTGCAGGGACCCTTCTGTATACAGAAGATTAGAGGCCCTGGTTTCAATTTAATTGGCTTTGAACACAGAGAATGCTTAAGGGACTTGCCCAGGGACATACTTGCCCTAGGATTAGCTATGTATTTTGACAGTATGTGTAATAAGCAGGACTTGAACTCAGGTCTTCTTGGCTTTGAGGCCAAGTCTTTATCTAGTTACTAGAGTCTAGTTTATGATACTGACTTCCATACATATCTATCAGACAGACAGACAGACAGACAGATAGATAGATAGATAGATAGATAGATAGATAGATAGAT